ACAAGAAGGCAGAGATCAATACCAGCCGAACAAGAGCAGAAAAAGCCAAGGCACAAGCTGAATACACGGAAATAAACAAACAAGTGAAGAGGAGCATCAGAACCGACAAACGTAAATATGTGGAAGATTTAGCAACGACGGCGGAAAAGGCTGCAAGAGAGGGAACATGAGACAACTGTATGACACGACAAAGAAACTCTCTGGAAATTGCCGCAAACCAGAACGACCAGTCAAAAGCAAGGAGGGCGAGGTAATCACCAACATTGAAGAGCAACAAAACAGGTGGGCAGAACACTTCAAAGAACTCTTGAATCGAACAGCTCCACTGAACCCACCCAACATCGAAGCAGCACCCACGGACCTCCCAATCGATGTTGGCCCACCAACAGTTGAAGAGATAAGCATGGCCATCAGACAAATCAAGAGTGGCAAAGCAGCAGGACCACACAACATTCCAGCAGATGCACTGAAAGCAGATGTAGCAGTAACTGCGAGGATACTCCACATTCTCTTCAATAAGATTTGGGATGAGGAACAAGTACCAAAAGACTGGAAAGAAGGACTCCTGATCAAAATACCGAAGAAAGGCGATCTCAGCAAGTGTGATAACTACAGGGGCATCACTCTTCTGTCAATACCGGGAAAAGTCTTCAACAGGGTATTGTTAAACAGGATGAAGGACTGCGTATATGCCCAACTTCGTGACCAACAGGCAGGATTCCGTAAGGATAGATCGTGTACAGACCAAATCGCAACTCTACGGATCATTGTGGAACAATCAGTTGAATGGAATTCATCACTCTACATCAACTTCATTGACTATGAAAAAGCATTTGACAGCGTGGACAAAACGACATTATGGAAACTTCTTCGATACTACGGCGTACCTCAGAAGATAGTCAATATCATACAGAGTTCGTATGATGGATTACACTGCAAAATCGTGCGTGGAGGGCAGTTGACAAAGTCGTTCGAAGTGAAGACCGGTGTTAGGCAAGGTTGCTTACTCTCACCCTTTCTCTTTCTCCTGGTGATCGACTGGATCATGAAGACGTCAACGTCTGAAGGGAAGCACGGGATACAATGGATATCTAGGATGCAGTTGGACGATCTAGACTTCGCAGATGATCTGGCTCTTCTATCGCAAACGCAACAACAAATGCAAGAGAAGACGACCAGTGTAGCAGCAGCCTCAGCAGCAGTAGGTCTCAATATACACAAAGGGAAAAGCAGGATTCTCCGACACAACACTGCATGCACCAATCCAATCACAATTGACGGAGAAGATTTGGAAGATGTAAAAACCTTTACGTATTTTGGCAGCATCATTGATGAATAGGGTGGATCCGATGCAGATGTGAAGGCGCGGATCGGCAAAGCAAGAGCAGCATATTTACAACTGAGGAACATCTGGAACTCAAAGCAACTGTCAACGAACACCAAGGTCAGGATTTTCAATGCAAATGTCAAGACAGTTCTACTGTATGGGGCAGAAACCTGGAGAACTACGAAAGCCATCATCCAGAAGATACAGGTGTTTATTAACAGTTGTTTACGCAAAATACTTCAGATTCATTGGCCGGACACTATTAGCAACAACGTACTGTGAGAGAGAGAAGAAAACAGATCCCAGCGGACGAAGAAATCAGGAAGAAGCACTGGAAGTGGATAGGACACACATTGAGGAAAGCATCGAACTGCGTCACAAGACAAGCCTTCACAAGAAATCCTCAAGGCCAAAGGAAAAGAGGAAGATCAAAGAACACATTACGCCGAGAAATGGAAATAGACATGAGAAAAATGAACAAGAATAGGATGGAACGAGAAAAGAAGGCCCAGGACAGAGTGGGTTGGAGAATGCTGGTCAGCGGCCTATGCTCCATTGGGAGTAACAGGCATTAGTAAGTAAGTAAGTAAGATAGAAAAATCTGAAACTTGGGTATCTTCTCAATTCTCGGTCCAGGAGCTAGCAACACCTGGGATGTCTTTGTTACGCAACGACAGAAAAACAGGAATTGGAGGTGGAGTAGCCGTATACATACTGCTTCGGTCTGGGCATCCGAGCTGTATCACAGCCCGCACACAAATATGATGAACTGTCGATAATTATGGAAAATACTTTTCATGCTTCAACTATTAATCAAACGATTCACATTATTATTATTACTATTGTTATTATTTACTACGTCATTTATTCACTCTTTTATTCCTACTCTGTCTATCCTTATTTTTCGACTTATACAGCAGCTCGTTTATGGTGGAAATTCGGTTCTACCTAAACGTTCTCGAGTAGAGACGTTATCAGATATGGCTCAGAATAGAAGCCAGTGGCGATCCTGCTGTAACCTTTTACTTTCTTCATAAAAAGTGGTTGCTTCTTCCTTAACTGGAAAATTCTTCTGGTTGTACTTTTCTGTTTTCCCATTATTATTATTACACTACCTTACATTAATCTGTTCGTTATCGTTTTTTTTACGCTCCTTACGTTTTTTTCCTTCACTGCAAATTCTCATTGTTTTGTGTGGCGCATATATATTTGGTGCCCTCCTGTACCAATACTTATGTGTTTAAATAAATAAATAATACATGCAATCTTGCTTGGAGGTATACCAAGTTCACAACCATGAGTTTAACAATCTTGATGAGTTATTATGGTGCTCTGTAAGATTGTCTACTACTTTGAGGTGCCTAGTCGGAGTCATATATAGGAAGCCCACTGCTGACATCGAGTATGACAGTCGTATGCTGGAAGGACTATCCCGCTCTACGCGTCTCGGTTTCACTCATATCCTGATTCTGGGGGACTTCAATCTCCCTAGAGTCAATTTCGCGGAACATACGTATATTGGAGGTGAAAACTCAACTGAAGCTCGGTTCTTCAACCTCATTGAGAATTTGGGATTACACGAAAATGTGAAGTCGGCAACTCGTTGGAGAAAGTCAGACACCATCGCGCTTAGATTGTGTATTTACAGACGAAGGATTTCTAGTTGACAACCTCTCAATCCTGGCTCCCCTGGGGGGGAAGCGATCACGCTGTTATAGCTTTCAGTTTTGTCAGCAAAACTGAGCTAAGATATCCCACTAACAACAGGCGCTGGAATTTCAAACGGTTGAATGTGTCAGCTCTACGTATCCAACCGCGAGCCACGAAATCAGTTCGAAGACTCAGATTTAAACCTTATGAAGAGCGCCTCCAATCACTAAACCTTTACCCATTAGAGTATAGGCGTCTTAGAAGTGACCTTGTAATGGCTTACAGTATCCTTAAGACTTCTGGACATCCTCTTAAACACCTACTTAAGCTTAGTCCCAACACTAACCTAAGGGATAACACCCAGAAATCGGAGATACAACATAGCAGAACGGACTGTAGACACAACTTCTACTCCTTAGGAGTTGTCAGATGCTAGTATTCGCTGCCGGCCGAGCTAGTCCAAGCGACTTCCCAGGAGTCCTTCAAGAGGCGACTCGATTTATTCTTATGGTCTAAGGATAGTATCATACTATGATTTATTAATTTCCGTTTCCTCTTTTATCGTTAACAAATCCATCTTCTCGCCTGGAGATTAAGTGTATAAACTTACGTATTTTATGGTGGTTTATGGACACTAGTTTCATTTCTGAAACTAATTTTGCAAAGCAGCAGAGCATTTTCTGTTACAAATGTTTTCTGTGTCACGAGGGTTTCAAGTTGTTGATGTGATTTATAATCCATATTTCTTTCTCTCCTGGAATTTATATATGCATATGTATAACCTTTCACATACGTGTTTCCGTAGATTTCAAAAGCGTACTGGCTCACCGTTATTTTATTAGTTGGTCGACTATTAGTTGCTGATTTCCTTTTTCCCGAAGAACAAAGTGCTGAAATTATAGTGGATAATAGTTACCGTTGCTTTCGTGTAAGACAATGTGGTATCACACAGTTGTGGGTTATACAGAAAGATTCACCTACGAAGTCTTTGTGCCTAGTGGTGATGAGTCACCAGTGCCAACAGTTTGCGACCTTGGCACATGAAAATAAACAGCCGAAGTAATGTACTATGTATTTGTGAGGCACTATGTTTACTACTAGACAGATAATGAATTTCTTTCCTAAGGACTTCAGAAAATTTGCTTAGACTATTCAATTCAAGTGAACAGTACTCAAGAGGTTAATTGTATACTATTGGTTTACCCTAATTTTAGTCAGGAGTAAATTAACACATATAATCTGATGATTTGAAACATTTTTTCAACTGTGCTTTGGTGTATGCTACTTATGCTGACGGGTAGAATTAGTATGTAGCAGCAATCGAAAGTGGAGTGCCTGGTTGGCAGCAGATTGAAATAAAAAGAACAGGAGAGGAAACAGAGGAATTGTAATAAAAACAATTGGTAGAATCGTGAAGTATTTGAAGGATAAATGAAGGAAGATTTGCGGATAATGTACTTATTGTATGATTTTCATGTTTTATGAACGCATTCTGTAGTTTTGCACTGAATAATAAATAGGTTTTCCCCACTTGAGTTCTCGTTTACCACGATACCATCCCTGTCTTATATGGAATAATAATTGTAGCTCACTTTCCCACTTTTAGTGTTCGATATTCATACTTCTCCTAAGTGTTTTGTTTTCTACAAAGAAGGGTAAGAAAACCCTTAAACCTCTGATTAGCCATTTGTTATTTTTGACTTTTAAGATATCTCAGCACAAGATTTAGGAACTGTTTGTTCAGCCATATAGACTCTGTGTTATGAGATTTCTCAAAAAATAATACTTAAGAGGGATGTATAATCTTCCTATGAAAGGCTGATTTATTTGAAATGAAAATTGAGTAAAATACGTCATACAATTTACATGAATAATCTTTTTACGCTCTTCATATATATTTGTATGACGACGTACTCAAAATCATAAGGGTAACTCATCTGGAAATATTAGTGCCGTTTCGGCAGCCATTAGCAACCATAATAGGGTATTGTACACTTTATTCCTATCCGTAACTTGTTTTTAGGATATGATTGGTTGTTTTGGATAATGTCTGATGTGTTCAGGGATGAATTCAACGCGGATACAAGTAATATCTATTTAAAAACCACTGCTCTCATACAACATATATTATCTGCTACACATGAAGAAGAGCAGGAGTTAAAATTACCAGGTGATCGGGCAGCTCAACTACGAGAAGTCAATAACAAGTTACGTGAACGCGTTACGAACGATGAGAAGCAGGTGGATTGTATGATATCTAGATTACAGACCGTGAAGCGGACAATCGAAGAGTTACGTGCTTCTATTGAGAAATCTAAATCAATTAAAGTGGGTTTAAATAGCTTGTAAGAATGATGCATTATAAATCGGCATTATTTTCTAGATGTGATTTTCATAAAAATCTTGGTGTTTATAACTTTACAGTCCTAATTAAAGTCTGAACTAATAGTGCGTCTTCTCACTTCAGTTCAATAGGTCAAGAAACTAATATCTACTATCGGTTTTACTTAGTCACAGTCACAACGTAGAACCTGGTACGTACATACATTGGTTTATGACGCGAATTCCTGGAGTAATAGATGTAGTAACAGTATCAATGGTAATAATAATAATAGGCATCGTAGATACGACTCAAAAAGAAAATGTAAATTAGCGAAATAAAAACAAAAATAAGTTGTGAGGAACTTATAATGTTAGGATTCGGGTTAGTCAAAGAATAAATGCACCTGTGTTGTTCCAAACGATTTTGAGCCATGCCATTCAAAATCACAAAGACTCCAACCAGTTAGTCCATAACTATTCACAACGCTAAGCCCGGTTGGCAGTGGAATAATGCCATGTTTGGTTTGGCTACCCCTGGCTTTCTTCCAACCTTCTGCTCCAGAAAACCACCCGAGGTAGGCATACGTAACACCTCATAACCACCTCAGTTAACGAAGACTTACTAACTCATCGATCGATTTTCCGTCTTTATCTAGAACTCTATTCCTAACTCAGTCATTGCTTACTCCGTGGTTCCAAAATACGCTAGCAGTCCTTCGTAGATACCTATAGTAGTCGTATACCAATAACCTACAAACATTCTCTATTCTTAATGACCATTTTTCACACCTATAAATTAGGACGGAGCAAACTGTCAAGCAGTAAACTCGTCCTTTGTTTGGAAGACGAATATCTCGCCTACACCACTATTTGATGCAAGTCTTCAAAAAACCAATCGAGCCTTCAAAATTTGTGCCAACTTTTCGTCACACACCAGACCATCAGCACTGATGGGGATTCCGGTATAAGTGGTGGTCGACACGCTTGATTACTTCACTCTCTATCACTAATTCAGACGCAGATGCAAGCCAATCCTGAAGTAAAATTTTGCATTTGGAGGAAGAAAACCGCATCCCGAACATGCTAGCATGTTTGCATAAGGTGGACGGTAAAATGCTTTTTGTTAGCGTCTTCGCCATACAGAACTATATCATCTTCGTACTACAGGTCAACAAGTAAACCTCCTGATAGATCAACTTTGGAAAGTCATGATATGGAAGTATTACCTTTAAAAGCATTCCTATGACAAAATTAAATGAAAATGAGGGAAGTGGACAATCTTGACGAACACTACTTGAAGTGATCAACTTCCATAAAATTTCGCCATAAGCTCTGACTCAAGCATTAGTGTTCGAATAGAGAGTCTGTACAGTGTTAACGTGCTTCCAGTTGATTGGTCACTGGCTAGTAACTAATTTTTTGTCAGGTCCTTAGTGCAGATCGATCAGATTGCAATGTGAATACATCTCGGTCCTAGAAAAGGTCAGTTGCAGCCCGGATAGCTCCGTGGTAACATCTGAGTGTGAGGTTGTGTGACATGGAATCGAATCCCCCAGGGAGCATTGCTTTCCGCGGGATTACAGTTGCACCTTAATGACGAGTGTCAAATGGCACAAAACGTGGGTTTCCTATCGACTGCACCCAAACACCTTACGTTAATGCACTTCTTTAGTATCCCTTTCAATGACAACTGCCATAGTATCTCGATCAACGGAGCCGAACGCCACCCTAAGGTCAAGAAATAAAACTTGTTGGATATCCAGAAGTATGCCTGTTCCAGAACCTCCCGAAGGGTAAATATTTGGTCTATACATCCACATCCAGGTTTGAAATCGATCTGGTTTTTTCGGGTTCGCTACTCACGAACTCTCCTTAGACGTCAAAGTGTTATCGAGACTAATATTTTAAACACTATATTGGTTAAACTGATTCCTCTGTGATTATCACAAGATTTTTGTTCTTATAAACTGAGATGATCAGTCAGATGAGATTTCATCCATTTCCCAGATTCTAGCAAAGATCTCAGTTGATTTGACTGCTGAAACTGGACCATCATCCTTAAAAGATCTCAAGGATTAGTCCATCAAGTCCTGTTGCCCTCTCTGGCTTTAGATTGCTTATAGTATTTCCAACCTCACTAAGAGTTGGAGAACTTACATCAGTTTGCCATTCATGTTGCATGAAGATAGTGGGTAACTGTGTCAGTCAGTCAGCTTCAACGTAGGTCTAGGCACATATATTCATCAGTCCAAGTTGAAGTGTGACGAAAGGCCTATCGAACTGTTCTCCAAAGTGTTCTGCTTATCGGTTTAATCTTCTGGATTGAGAACGAATAATGGTCCCGTCTTTTTCCGAAACAGTTTCACTGACAGCCGTATTCCTTGCTTCGGTTTGGGCACCCGGGCAATATCACAGCCCTCACACAAATTAAATTAGATTTTTGTGGCGTATATGTATATGTATTCCTAAAACCCGTTTCCTTGATAAGTCTGAACAGTTGTCTGCTATTGCCTACCATTGCTCACGATCATTACGTAGGTTTCTAACCAGCCTACGTTAAGACTGCCTCCACTCCTCGTCGTTTTTTGAGCAAGACGGGATGAATTTCCAAGAATCTATCAGTTCTGTAGACACCGCTGAAATCCACTGGTTTTCCTAGCCTTTTGGTTTAAGTTACTGGTAGATATCACTGCTGTTTCCACAGCTTTGTGGATGCCATACACAATTACCTCGAATCGGTGTTCATCTTGTTCTGATAATTAAGTGTGGCAACTTAAACCAATGCATACATGTGCCTGGTCCTACATTGCAACTCACTGACCTCGAAATGGATATCATTTTGACGGTTGACTAGTTTCTTCTCCAGTTGTTCCTGAAATATGTTCTTATTTTTTTTCATGATCAATTTGTACTCTAAGGAGTTTATTCGCTGTGGCTTCTCTACGTCCAGTAAGATACGTGGCCGAATTAGAGCATAATCCGAGCATAAACATATGCTTCAGACAATATAGCTCGGTTGAGTCGCCACGATAAACAAGACCGACCACCACATCTAAGTAGCAACTGTAGTCGGGTTCATTTGACGTAATTATCGTAAATAAAAATTGCGGTACGTCATTTCTTAGTTCTCCAGTGGAAACAAAACAAACACAACTAAAAAATGAGCTTCATTTTGCATTACTGATCAACGTACTTGCCAAAACTTAATTGCAAATTTAACGGTATTATTTTACAACCATTGTACCTATCAGACGTGTGCTTTATACTTTTCAACTAAACCGCATATAAATTTGGTTTGCTTGTCCTCCTAGATCGCTTATTTGAAACAAATTGAATCTGAAAATCCTCCTGAAGATTCATTTTTCCCATGTGAATTCGAAAATTCTACACTGATGCAAGTTTATAAAATGATCCAACCATTCGAACGCCTACTTGGAATTCAAATACAGAAAACGCACTCTGGGCTACTACAGTTGCTATTTCATGGTTGTTCAAAAGCGCTGGTTAGTAGTGATGAAGTAATTGTATGCTGTTGTCAACTTCGTATAGTAAATACTAATCGCTTTGAAGTCGTTTTGTGTGATCCACCCGTACCGGATCTAGAAAGGCTTGTAAACCACCTGAATTGGACTGAAGATATACGGAGTTTTATTATTGTATTAAGACAACGTTTTTGTCGTTACTTTGAATTAGCTGCAGCAGTTTCGAATAAATTAAGCTCTGAATGACTAATGTGTTAATGAGCATTCTGACAGTGTACTCTGATGAACCTTTGCTATGCATGAATTTGTCATAATTTATGTTCATCTTGCGCTTATATCTTATAAAAAGTATATATATATATACAATCTATGTGATTATTTTTTCCCAGTCGCGCAACCACGTGAAATTGGAAATAATAATAGTTCGTTTGGTATGAAAATCCGCTTACGGTTAGCCATGGAAGTAGTTGGTTTATAAATAAGTGTAAAAAGTTGGACTATTTGTTTTTTAGCGGTGAAAATTTGAATCAATCGCTCCTTTCACTGTTAAAACTCAACAAAGTATCTGCTATTTAGACGAAACTGGGACCTGTAGCTTAACATCTGTGACTAAATGTCTTAACAAACGTTCTGTTGGATTGGAAGGCTTTTCTCTGGGTTAAAATAGCTAAGCAGAGATAATTAAACTCATGAAACAACGATGATTCAGAAGCGTGTGAAGAAAATATCCCACAAACAATTCAAATCCAGAATAATCAAAAACGCTTGGCGAACTATTCTTGGAATTTTCGATCTTAATAGAAGTTGTGTAATACGAAGTAGATATAGACACGTGACTGGAATTTCCTCTAGAACTAATGCTGTCTATGAACTACTACCTGTGGAGACCATAGGCGATAAAGCTCAAGACCGGTGGCAATAGCACGTGTTTTCCTCCTTGATTTTCCACTAAGTTCGGAATTGTGGAATTCTTTATCTTTGTATTTCATCAGTAATAATTCTTCTTAAGCTTAGGTTTTTAAAGTGAAATACAAAAGTTCACATAGCAGTTCATATTAAGTTCACGTTGACGTTTGCTGCGTTAGAATTTTTTCACAAATTGAGGCAAGTTAAGATCACATGAAATAGATCTGAATTGTATTTGTATATGTCAAAATGTAAGTGACAGTTAACTTTATTGAACTACGTTCCATTACTCACAGTTTCGATTCACATGGAGCACTTAGTGTATAGAGCTTGAAGAGTTAAGTACCTGTACGATTTTTAATGCTTACATGTCTGTGATAAGTTCAGACCATATCTATTCGTACAGATATACAACCCAGTATTTGTGAAATCATTAGGTAATGTATTTAAAAACGAACATGAAATGACTTGCCACACTTCATTGGTTTGTCGTTTCATTTTGAAGTCTAGAAAATTTTACAGGATTTTTATAGAAGTCATATTACGCAAAATCAGTGATTAATTTGCAGAAAAGGAACAAAAAAGTCACTAGTAAAATAATGTGATGTAAAATAAATTACAGCCAAATATTATTGCATGTTGCACAAGTTTAGTATAAAAGTAGGTAAGTCGATTTACACAAAGTTTTGGAATGTTATGAAATAGAAAGTTGATAGAGAAAGCATAACTTAACAATATAAGCATGGGATATAAAATAAAGTTATTAGATCACAGAGATAAAGTTGAGTTGTTGGTATGTTATCACTGAATTGTGCACCTATGTCAAAGATCCTGAAATTCAAAGATGTTGAGATTATTTACATAATATGATAACAGTTGACTGCTAAAATTATTAGTTTATCCGAAAAGCTTCATTAATCGTAGCAATGGACAGTAAAATCGCTTAGACAAAATGCATTGCTGAATTAACACCTGGCATACAAATTCTACTTTAAAAATAGGTGATTAAAACATGCCGTTTGCTATTTAGATTCAACATACAAGCTTGTCAATCAGATTATAGTACGTTTCGCTCTCGATGTAGATGTCCATTTTAATGACGTGAGGATATACGTAAATTTGAGGTAATAACTTTGGTGGCAAATCGGTGTACACTAGTCGATAATTACTAAAATTGCTCGCTAACACACAACACGGCATATGTTATTTGGGTCCATTGATATACGAGGTTAAGACCTTACAAACATTCCTGCTACTAAACATTGTTATGGACACTGTAGACAACGAGAGTCCATAAAAGTAATTACAACTTACATGCGGAATTGAATTAAGAAATGCAAAATGTATGTGTAGATACCGGAAATATTAATTTTATTTCGCTGTCAAGTGAACGAATAGGCGCACCATTTTGTACGTGATAATCAATAAGATGTTGTATGCTATCAAATACTCGTTCTTTTGTACGTACCTGAAATTTGTCAAAAACATGCATATAAGATCTAGGCCAGTTCAAAATTTTAATAAACATAATTTTCCAACATCCAGAATTCACAAATTTTTTCCCCATAATGTGGATACAAATTCTTCAATTTGATACTAGTCAGAAACCGGTAGTGTTGCAGCAAGCTTCTCTTTAATGATATTTTTTGTTTAATACATCCAAAGTAACCAGCCTTAGTTCCCTCAGAAAACAACGTGGAAAATGCACCAACAACTGTGATATTTCCACTAGTTTTGTGAAATAATCTGATTACATTAGGTGGTTACTACACATAATTAACGGGTCAAAGCAAGTTTAAGATAGTGAAAATCGTCCCGATATTTGTAATGTATTAACTACACTTTTATTATACAAATACTATCAATTGAAATGTAACATTGAATTTTATTCGTGGAACTTTTGTAAGCGTACACTAGAGGTTGAAATTAGATGAGTCCAAGAGTTTTTTTGTAATTGAACTTGAGCTACATTTGTTTCGGAAAAACCACACGAATCGAGGTGATGAAATCAAGATTCAGACTCCTAACCATATGGTTGGAAATCGGGTGTTTAAATTAACGAAATACTGTGGCTGATAGATCTGTGTCAGGCAAAACGAAATTCGATCTGACGGTTGTTTAGCTGATATCGTACAATTAGATCTATCTCCAACATGCTAACCTAAAGAATATCTTGCTAGATTTTTAGCAGATAAATGAAATTTTGTTTGCAAACATGGTGTGGTTAATGAAGTTGCCTTAAACAGAATATTACCTTTCCATTGGGATCGGCCAGTAACAAATGTCTATATTTTCCGTCTTGAAGGCCGCTTAGTACAAACTGACCAGGCTGCTGAATGCTAGCACGTACAAGAAAATCCCCATCATAACGCAACAAATTTTCGGCTTGTGATCTGGACATTTTACCAACATACCAAGGTTCACCTACTGGTTCTAAATGTTCAAAATTTGGAAGTCCAACTGGTGCCTTTACATTAGACATTGATTTGACACCAGCGACTTTATTAATGTTGCAGGAAGCCTGTTGTGTTAAATCATTTTGATTAGATTGGGTGGAATTTTTTGTAGTGCCACAGGATGGCTTATTGCATTCTGCATTATCAGTTTGATTACCCGAAGAAAGTTCGTTACCAAGATGCCCTGCGTATAAAAATAGTAAATATATATAACCTTGTGGTACATAATCTAAGGTGGAGTCAATTGTAGCAATCCGTGTCAATGAAAAATAATTATGATCACGTTAACATGCGTATTTCCTCATCAAAAACCTAAATTAATAAACGTCATTATAAAAGTTAAAATGATGCCATCATAGATATAAGTTAGAAAAATGATGCTCAAGTATTGGAGCGAAATCAATTAAATGAAAAAGTAGATAATTTGACCATTTATAATTTAATTGATAGTATTTATTCAAAACAAAAAGTACATTATTAGACAATCCAAGTACACAAGGACAAACTGTTTCACTATTTTAATCTGATGTAGTTGCTAACACGGGTGAATAAATATACTAATGGAGAATGATCCGTAGTACAGATGAATTTATTTCTAAATATTTACATCGATGGTTCAGATAGTTTGATTTTATTCTAGGGAACTGAAGTGAACGCTATACTATTAACAACATATCATGGACGATGACACTGGAAGGAGATACTACCACGTTTAACATCCAAAAGCGACAATGGGGATAATTTAGCTGAATTGAATGACTGTGCATTCTGTGTCCTGGAAGTCCTTCCTATTGGGACTTATAAGCAAGGACTACTGTGAATTAGGAGGAAAAGTTTTAAGATTTAAGTCGTTTAGTATTGCAGGACTTAATATGCAAGCGTGAGTTAAAGTAATAAAATAATTGTTACTTCGTGAATATTAAGTCATTTGATACTATCCTGCTTTTTTATTTAAATGAATTGAACAAAAGGATTTTTTAAAAAAAAACTACTTATTAGTCTTTACTACATCAAACATTTACTTTCTGTTCTGATTTTGTTTCAAAAGTGCATTTATTCATGACACCTATATTTTTGAAATAAAACAAATTGCTTAATAATGAATAAAAATAAACATTACATGCACTATCTTCAAAATCCATAAAATTATCAAAAGCTACTGGTTGATGAGTAACATTATTATCAGGCATAGAAGTATTTTGATTTAATGTCGTATTCTCTTTTGATAGGGAATTACTGGTATTGGCAGATACCTGGAAGAAAATAAACAATATTGTAGAGAAGAGTAATATTAATGAAAATTTAAAATATAATTTAATAGTAAGTGAATAATCCACTTTCAAATAGGGGAAAATATCACACAATTTTAAAATCAATGAGATAAATGAGTAGGAATATACAGTCTATGTGTAATGTAAAACCTGTTCTCAACAGGTATAGATGAATTTATGAGCAAGAACAAAGATCGGTGCAGAATAATATGAATTCATTTTATTTCGTTAGGTTCTCAGCTGCTCACAACCTAAAATATTTGAAAATCAGAGTTATTACAGTTATTGACATACAGATGAGAGGGTGATTAGGGAGGAATATATGTATTATGATGAAGCGAAGATTCTGATAGAGTTAATGAGGTCATAAAATTTCGTTTCGAATAAATAAAGTTTGGGAGGGAAGGTTCTAGAACATTGAAATAGTGATTAGAACGTATTGAATTGAAAAATACATGAGATGATATATATATATATATATATATATATATATATATATATATAATTTTCTCAGGAAAGATATGAATTGAAATCAGTCAGTAATGAATGATGTAATTTTAAAATTCAGGAAGAGTTGGAATAATGAATGGCGCAATAAATAAATAAAGGGGGGGGGTAATGTTACCAGAGCAAAGGAAGATTTATTACTGTTTCTTTTTGTATACATATATCTTGTTTTAGACGCTTGATTGCTATCGCTTCGGCAAATTTCAAAAGGTTTGAGTCTGATTGTTTGTTAATCACCTTGAAGGACTTCAGTGTATCGACTTCGTGTCCTGTGTCAAGGAGATGTCTTGCGATGGCACTGCTGAATGTTTTTAGTCCGTTTGATCTTAAACTTTTCGGAATAATAATCTAATAGATGAAGCAAATGATTTTATACAAATAGAAAAATCCATTATGCAAGCTGCAACACTAACGGCAAATCCCCGAAAATCAGCGACTAAAAGATGAGATCAAGCACAGAAAGAAGTTAAGACTTCAATGGTAGCTTCTTCCGTGTCATTAGTTATTATATAGAGATCATCGGTGTATTCTAAATGTTTGATTGACCAGGATTCATTGTTCTGATCTTTCAGGTCAATTTCTTTCAAAGTGCAAACAATTGTGTGTTCTAGAATACGTTTGAAGACTAGATTGAACAGGATAGAACCTTCTTTGCTTCCCTGTTTTACTCCTCTATACATGGTGAAGTTTAAGTTTGTTTCTTAGTAAGCCTTTTGGATTGTCTAGCAGTTTTGCTATGCACGAGTTTTTGATTTGTGATTGACATGCTTCTGGTATGTATACAAAAAGAAACAGTAATAAATCTTCCTTTGCTCTGGTAACATTACCCCCCCCTTTATTTATTTATTGCGCCATTCATTATTCCAACTCTTCCTGAATTTTAAAATTACATCATTCATTACTGACTGATTTCAATTCATATCTTTCCTGAGAAAATAGTGTGGAAATATCATCAGTATCGAACGTTGAACAATCGCTTTATCCACTTTTGTAAATTATCTAACACCTTGGTAAAAGACACATCAGATATACCAAAGATGAAATCCAGCGTAACATAAAGCCATCTACACAAGATTTTACTTTTCAGTAATAGCTTGTTATTTTAGTCTATTAAACAAAAGGTAAAAAAAGGAGTTCCTGATAACTGGCGAAACATGTGTTCCTTATTATAACATTCTTTTTCGTTGACTCAATGAAAACTTCCACCTATTAGGCTACCCTATTCAAAAATCATTCGAAATTTCGTTTTATAGTTTATCGGTTGATATTACTTCCACATAGTTTAGTATCTTAATCTGTACATTAGCTTTTCAGTTTTAGTCACTAATTAGGCACAGTAGTACCGGTTCGAGAGCAAATTGTATAAGCAAGAATTCAAATAATGAATCTAGGGTGACAAGTTTTTCATTTTGAGTAATACTAGTAAACGACATATGTACATTTATTCCTTGGACAAACCAGACATAAAGTCTATCGATTTGAATGCATTCAAAGTCGATGTCAATATAAATTTGTCAATTAACAGAGATAAATCAAATAGGACAAAACCACATATATATTTTTTTGATTTTACATTGAAAACATTAAGCATTATAATTGTAAATAATAAAACTAACTCACATGATAATTGGTACTATTAATAGATGAAGGTTTGTTTGAATTACTAAGAGAATTTTTAGACATTGATATATTTGTTTGAAATGTTTGGTGATGAGAAAATAATGAATCCAATGAATTTAATTTAATGGGAGATGTTTGTTTATTAACATTTTGCGGTTTAGAATTTTTGAAATCCTAATTTTGTTCATATTTATACAAAAATAAATAGAGAGTAGTTAGGACAGTATATTGATAAAATAAATTAAAATAATGATAAAAAATAAAATAAGGAATAATGTTTAAATTGTGAAAGCTTTTTGTTGTGAAAATAGCTTTAAAAATGGTCTAAAAGTTCATTGTTTACTAACGTCTGATAAGTTAAATAATATAACTGCTCCTTTTTTATCTGATCAGGGTAAATTGAATATACAAAACTAGGGAAAATAACACATGGGGTACGATCGTATTAATACACTTTTCATCAGCCTTGCTTATTCATTAGTCCATCAGTCTCGAAGTTTATTATACAGGTTTACCTACGATAATCAAGATCAAATCACAAACTAGTAATATTACAGCATTAATCAACCAATAATGCAAGGCATAGTTTGAGCACGAGGAAACTAAACTACGTGAACTTTGATCAAAAGTAACAATAGTAGACTCGGGTTTGGCTAAAAATGTAATGATTTAGTTAACTTTACTTTACCAGTCATAACTGATGACATACTGAATTAAACGGTTGAATAAAAAGATTGAAATGATTTGATAACAAGTTAAATTTACTCTTTATAACAAAGCGTATGAAATAAAGGACCATCTATAAATGATCACCATTTTTATGCTCACATATTCAGAAACGCCGAATTCTTATACTAATTAACATGCTTCGTCACCGACCATAAAAATGTTTATTTCATTTACAGGTTTACGCGTTCGGATTTAAGTTTAACACTGTGTTCTGAAGATACAGCTCGGCTGCTCACAGCGAATTCAATGGGATGAGATATGGACATAAGACCCAGTGATCAAAACACTAAACTAGCACTCACAAATTAAAATACAACACAAGCATGCATCTTTTTAAGTGGCTACATTTCATCTCAGACAAGGAAATAAATTAAGCAATCTTTTCCTTTAAATTTTAGATATTTTTACTCCTATTGACTAAAGTCTGCTAAAATATGTGAAAATTATATTTGAAATAATCTCAGCGACTGAAAATGGCTATTGATGTTAAGCTATCTATTTTGAATTGCTACACGTTATCAATAGTTTTTACAGTGTCAGTAAGCTATACTAACAACTAGAATCCTGGTTAAGCTTCATGAAACATTCTACATCAAAACTTAGGGTAAACAACTACAATCTAAAGGACAAGTGCCCATGACAATTCGCAGATGTGAATTCAAGTTAATATTCACCTGATATCCTAGCTGGAATGCTTGTCCGATTGTAATAATTACATCCTGGGCAAGACCATCTGAACATTCAAAAACGTAACACATACGAGTGTCTTGATCTGTTTTGGCCACATAACAAATGAAATCTGGTGTATCTGCATCCCCAGCGGAAGCAAAAGAAACCAGGAATAGGTTGTGCTGGAATAATAACTGAATAAATAAAACAAAAGAAATAATTATTAAATAACGTCAAGTGAACATATATTATTATACGTTAAAATAAGTTCACCCACCACTAATTATTGAAGTAAATACTGACGCATATTTTACCAAATTGCGAAGACAAATACCTATTTTGGCCAATTAAATCTAAGCATGATAAATTCCAATGCAAAAAGAAAGGAAAATCAATAGTAAGTAAAGCGTAGAAAATCACACGGTCAGAAACATTTATGTTGATAAAGAGATCGAGAAGCAAACGAGTGGAAAAATGGAGAACTGTGGGAAGCTGTAGTATCTTAGTCATAAAAAATTAAAAAAATGTACTATGATCGACTATTAAATGTTAGCTCAAGCTGTCAGCTCTTACGTTTACTACTAATTCGAAGGTCGTACCCAACAAGTACGCATGCCAATACGATTGAGGATAATAGCTTGCGGCCTTATGAAGCTTCGCACTCAGAGCTGCAATCAGTCAGTCAGCAACAACGTAGAATTTCGGACATACACATATCAGTTTGAGTTGCCATACCACATTAGCACAGAGATGCAGTTGTCTATTCAAATCTCATAGTGCTAGATAGTAAAAGTATAAGCAGTCATCGAAAAGATTAGGGTTAGAAGATGTTATTCAAGGAGTATAATCCAGTGAAATAAATATGGAAAGAGTAAAAAGAAAGGGACATGAAGAATTAAGAAGATTAGAACTTGTGAAAACACAAAGAATGGATGAACCTGCTACACTACAAACGATTTTGAGCCATGTCATTCAGTGTCTCTAACCATCAGTTCGCGGATCCCAACCAGGTAGTCTACATCTACCAACATTGCCCAGTCTACTTGGCAGTAACATCATGGATTTGTGCCATGTTTTGTTCTGGCCGTCCACAGATTACTTCCAACCTGCTCCTACATACCGAAACATCACAGGTCGGTCCAAGTTGCCATACGGCATTGGAACAGCAAGATGAACAACGGATTCATAGGATTAGTTAACACAATGTTGGCAATATATACAAGAAAGATTGCATATAAGGATAGAGTACAGGAAGAAAGGAGTAGTTCGTAGAAAGAAAGGTATGAAGTAATTTTAATTTCAGTGTTTAAGTGAGGACAAAGAGTGTATGCACCTACGCCATTGTGATCGATTCTCAGCCATGTCACCAAGAGTCTCCAACCATTGGTTACGATAGTCACGCGGACCATAATCAAGTAGTCTGCATCTACCGACATGGCTCAGACTAGAAGTTAGTGACTCCAAGCACTGATGCCACGTTTTGGTTTGGCCTCCCCTAACTTTCTTCCAACCATCCCCAACACCGGTCAGCATGGCGCGTCGTGGTATTCGGTGTTCAGGCATACGTAACACGTGTCCCAACTATATCAGTCGATGAAGATTCACAATCTCATAAACTGATTTACCACCATTCCCTAATACTCTGCGTCTAACCTCATTATTACTTACCCACTGATCCCAGCAGATACGAGCAATATTTCTGAGACCTCTGTGATCAAATACTAGTAACTTACGCGTCTCCTCTACCCTTGATGGCCACGTTTCACAGCCGTGAAGTAGAACAGAACGAACTGCCGCGCAGTATACTCGTTCTTTTATTGATAGACGGATATCTCGCCTTCGTCATAGGTGACGTACGTTGGCAAAAGCCAAGCGAGCTTTTCGAATCCGTGCTGAGATTTCGTCAGACACCAACCCATTAGGGCTGATCAGACTTCCAAGATAAGTGAAGTTGTCGACGCGTTCGACTATTTCACTCCCTATCCTTAGTTCAGGTGTTGACGCAGACCAATCCTGAAGCAACAACTTGCCATTAGAGGGGAAGAAGCGCATTCAAAACATTCTGGCATTGTTGCTTAGTGCTACCAAAAGACTGGATTTTATCAACGTCTTTGCCAAGCAGGACTGTGTCGTCTGTGTATTTCAAGTCGATAAGTGGACCTCCTGGAGGGAGATCATTGCCCGAAAATTCAGTCGATGAGAATGTTATTTCCATCAGTAGGTCTATGATGAAGTTAAACAAAAATGGAGAAAGTGGACAGCCTTGGCAGACACCACTTGATGTTGCAAAAACAGGTGACAGTTCGTCATAAGCTCTGACTCGACTAGTAGTGTTCGAGTAAAGAGCCTTCACAAGGTTTATGTACCTCTGAGGTACACCTTTCAATGACAGACACTGCCACAGAAGCTTTTGGTCTACAGTCATATGCTGCTGCTTTTCAGTCAACAAAAACTGTCATTGTCGGACGCCGATAAACATGCTTGTGTTCCGAAACCTGACGAATGGTGATTATGTGGTCGATGCAGTCACGACCAGGTCTGAAACCAACTTGATTCTCTCGTGTTTGCAGTTCATGAGTTTTTTGGGCGTCCGATAATTATTGAGGCTAGTATTTTAGATGCCATATTAGTTAAACTAATCTCTCTATAGTTGTCATAGGATGATTTTGACCCTTTCTTTTATATTGGGACGATCAGTGATTGTGACCAGTCAGATGGGATTACGTCCAACTACCAGATTTTAGTTAAAATACTAGTCAAGTTAATCGTTTAAACTGGATCACCATAGTTAAAGTCTGTTAGGTCCCGAATAACATAACTAATGGAACTTTGGGATCCCTTTATGGATCAATACTAAACGTATATTTTTATCGTATTATTGTTACATAACAAAACAATTCATATTCCTCTTATTATAAACTTTATTTTGACTTATGAACCATTATTATACGTTTTACCATTCTTGAATTATGCCCTGTCTATTAGTCACTGCCTCCCACATTCACAGCCACGTTCGGCCAAAATTTTGTACGTTGTGTTCTGTTTGATAGGTATATAAACCAAGTATGTTTGAAATATATGATTTCATATTGCAGAAACTGATACTGGTATTCTGGACTTAACTAGCTGGGCTAGGCGAAAAGCAGGGCCAATCAGGACTCTAGGCTGCTCGCACGTGTTCTACGCGTCCTTGGTCCGATCTATAATTCGCTGCTTCTGTTTGGCGGCTTTAGGCTATAACAATTGACGACGGGGATGGGATTCGAACCCACGCGGGGAAACCCCAATGGATTATCGGCTTTGGACTATAACAAAGACATCTGAACCAGCTGCTCTTTCTCGTCCTACTTTATGGCAGTGAAACATGGTCGGTAAGAGCAGAGGATATGTGTAGGTTACTAGTATTCGATCATAAGTATCTTTGAAACATTGCTGGTATATCCTGGGACCATCGAGTAAGTAATATAGTTGTTAGGAAACGGGTACTAGGCAAGGATGGCAAATCGATTGATGAAGTGGTGAAGCTTCATCAGTTGAGATGGCTGGGACACGTGTTACGTATGCTCAACCACCCTGATCGTTGTTGCCACCTTGACGTGGTGGTCGGGCTTGCTTATTGTGATGAAACAACCGAGATATGCTGGTTGGAACAACCAGTCCTCAAGGTCCTACCATGTCAGAGAGGTCGGTTGAAGAGCGGTAAGTCTAAAAGTAGCAAACCCAAGGTCCGAAGGCGAAGTCGTACTGCTAACTGTGCAGAGGTGTGACAGCAGTAAGGTTCTTTCCTTCAGACAACCAGCATGACAGCGTTTCTCTCTTCCTACAAGGAAGGGTGGGGTTGGTTTCAGACCTGGTCGTGACTGCATCGACCACATAATCACCATTCGTCAGGTTTCAGAACACAAGCATGTTTATCGGCGTCCGACAATGACAGTTTTTGTTGACTGAAAAGCAGCAGCATATGACTGTAGACCAAAAGCTTCTGTGGCAGTGTCTGTCATTGAAAGGTGTACCTCAGAGGTACATAAACCTTGTGAAGGCTCTTTACTCGAACACTACTAGTCGAGTCAGAGCTTATGACGAACTGTCACCTGTTTTTGCAACATCAAGTGGTGTCTGCCAAGGCTGTCCACTTTCTCCATTTTTGTTTAACTTCATCATAGACCTACTGATGGAAATAACATTCTCATCGACTGAATTTTCGGGCAATGATCTCCCTCCAGGAGGTCCACTTATCGACTTGAAATACACAGACGACACAGTCCTGCTTGGCAAAGACGTTGATAAAATCCAGTCTTTTGGTAGCACTAAGCAACAATGCCAGAATGTTTTGAATGCGCTTCTTCCCCTCTAATGGCAAGTTGTTGCTTCAGGATTGGTCTGCGTCAACACCTGAACTAAGGATAGGGAGTGAAGTAGTCAAACGCGTCGACAACTTCACTTATCTTGGAAGTCTGATCAGCCCTAATGGGTTGGTGTCTGACGAAATCTCAGCACGGATTCGAAAAGCTCGCTTGGCTTTTGCCAACGTACGTCACCTATGACGAAGGCGAGATATCCGTCTATCAATAAAAGAACGAGTATACTGCGCGGCAGTTCGTTCTGTTCTACTTCACGGCTGTGAAACGTGGCCATCAAGGGTAGAGGAGACGCGTAAGTTACTAGTATTTGATCACAGAGGTCTCAGAAATATTGCTCGTATCTGCTGGGATCAGTGGGTAAGTAATAATGAGGTTAGACGCAGAGTATTAGGGAATGGTGGTAAATCAGTTTATGAGATTGTGAATCTTCATCGACTGATATAGTTGGGACACGTGTTACGTATGCCTGAACACCGAATACCACGACGCGCCATGCTGACCGGTGTTGGGGATGGTTGGAAGAAAGTTAGGGGAGGCCAAACCAAAACGTGGCATCAGTGCTTGGAGTCACTAACTTCTAGTCTGAGCCATGTCGGTAGATGCAGACTACTTGATTATGGTCCGCGTGACTATCGTAACCAATGGTTGGAGACTCTTGGTGACATGGCTGAGAATCGATCACAATGGCGTAGGTGCATACACTCTTTGTCTTCACTTAAACACTGAAATTAAAATTACTTCATACCTTTCTTTCTACGAACTACTCCTTTCTTCCTGTACTATATCTTTTATAACGTTCAATTTTCCACGTCACACGAATGGGACGTTAATTTACCTTAGACGAATATGTAAATTAGATTCTCTGCCAGTATCTATTTTACAGGACTGTAACACAACTCAGATCAAGAACACGTGATTAGCCTGGCTAGAACGTAAATATATTTCAGCACCCAAATCCGACAATTATGATAATGGTAATTGAATACATAACCCATCTGGTACCTGTCAGACTATCTACAAGTCTGACTACGGAGACAACCAACCACTATCATTCTTGCCCAAACATTATCACCCTCGCGAATTTTGGTCGTATGTCTTCACCTTTGTGTCCACTTGAAAAAATCTCGTTTGTTTGGTTGTCTTTATGACTTACTGCTAGGTTTTGGTTTCAGCCCATTTTTTTTCATTTCAACTTGTTGTGGTGGTAGTGGAATATTAAATGTATCACATAACATTTCTATCTCTCCGTTGGTTTATATGTCTAATAATTAGTGTACTTTCAACCATCAATTCATACAATACCTTTCAACGTCATAAGAGGAATTTCTGACAGAATTATTAACAAATAATACTCATCAATTTCATAACTTAAGATTTCATCGCTTATCCAACGAAAGCATCTAGCCAAAACAAAACGCAAAAATTAGATGTATCACATACCACACCATTATCAATTGTTTCAACAGTTAGTGTTTGTGATGTGATTGTAAGGTATACGTTTACCATTGCCCATGTCATATCAGTGGATGGGCCAATGAACTGTTTTATTGACTTGTCAGCTGGTTGGTTACTTGGTAGTTTTAGACCAACATCTTCACATACACGACGTATTGATGCACTGCAAGGAGAAATATGGGAGAATTTAAGAGTATGTAAACAATTCTTATTGCCTTCTAACTTGAGAGGCTAAAATACACGCATTATGACCTTAAAATCTAGGTTTATAGTAAATAACTCTGCATAAATTAAACGTTACAGCGATAACAACTAGCTAAACACTCATGCCGACTGAAGTTTATGAATCAATTCTCACTATGAAATTCGATTAGTCAACATAAGGATGTAGTATTTGGTAATAAATATTTCGAGAAATCAACAAAAAGCTTGAAAGCAAAATAAAAAACAGAAAAATATTATGATGCTTTATATCAACTTTACCTCACTTCAAAACAAGCGATTACAAGTAATTAGTTGGGATATTCATTTACATTACTCACCACTACATGTAAATCTTGCGTGACTACTGTGGCAAATAATTACAGAAGTTGCGTAAGAGCGTTCAGAATTGGTCGCAACAATACAGATACATTTACTATATCTTCCATTAGATTCTAACTCTTGAAATTATTTTACACCTTATATTCTGTCAGCCTATTCTTTCTGTTCGAATCACATATTCTGTCTATGCTCCTTTTTTACTTCTGCTGATATTACTTCTATTACTTTGGTATTTATCATGACTTCATTTTACTGAGTTGATGCATACATGTATCCCAGGTTCCCTGTTACTTACTGACGTATTTGAGTGTAGCATTTAAAAGCAGTTTATTCTCAGTATGTATATGAGAATAACTTACTGTGGTCTGTGTATGATCACAAGTATCAGTTTGTGATGAGGTACTAACATCGAATTTTCTATTTAAAGCTAGATATTGTCATTCACGACTTCCAAACCGATAAACACTGATGTGAGTTCAGACAACCTTCATTTAGCCAGAAACGTACTCAGTCCTTCCGTGTTCGTCTAGACTAACAAGCAGAGACTTGTTAAGCTTGGGATCCTGAAAACCTTACGTAAACATTTTGAGTTTAGAAAAATTCTGTCACTCAATAACAATATCGGTAAATACACATACAATTAATTAGTGATACCAGATTATTCAAACTTAATTAGGTAGGATACGTTACAGATCCAAAATATACTGGTTGAATTAGTAGCCTGAATCTATGCATAATGATAACCAGATATTTCTTTAGAAGCTAAATATAAGTAGAGAATCTTGAAAACACAAACTTCCAGATGGTCACAATACTCGATGTACCGGACCGTGTAGACAGTAAGATTTCTCATAAATTAATGGAATCTTTAGAAACCCTATCTTATTAAACATAGAAGCAGTAAAATTGAGGAAACAAAAGAGAAACACTAGAGCACTAGAAGTATTTTAAAATATAAATGGCATTAAACTGTCATTTGTTGGTTAGATTTCCCAGACAGTGAAAATATGAACGTCAATCTAGCTTTCTTCAGGTCGCTCAAATGGAACGTTTACTCCATATCAGCAGGTGTGAAGTGATAATCGCTAGCAGTACTGAATACAAAACAAAACAACTGAGTATCAGTAGTTATGACTAAGAAGAGAATGAAAGTATAAATGGAGAAATAGTAAATTAAACTGGAGATATGTGCAGTTATTTATGTTAGGACACTATACATATTTACTTTTAACAGCAGTGAATCTATCCTCACTTTTATCATTTTCAAACCTTTTACGTTTCGAAACAGAATGTATTGCCACTTTTATTGACATACAAATTTACATTTTGAAAACATCCGAATATGCTCCAGGAACATGCTTCATGCAACAAAGCATAGTAATGCGCTCCATATTTGAAGTTATTTAGACCGGAATAGACGGCAAGACTCTAATTTAAGGACGACCTTTGAACGAATCTTAAGTGACCTTGACAATTATTAGCCAATCAGAAGAAAGTTAGTATAAAGTGAAAATATATTATATGTAACTAATGAATTACAGTGGATATTCTCCTTTCACATGATTTAAAAACTTGTTAAGGTTTGATTAAGGTTCAGAGGCTCTGAATTAATAGTGAATATGGTATAGAAACTCGTCCATAGGGTTAGTGGTTAGGGTTGTAGCCTGTCAATAGACACCTCTTCCCTAACATCCGATGTAAACAGATCGCATGGTAGCACCCTAATCCTAACCTAACCCCAACCTTAACCTAACCCTAATCTAACCCAAACCCTAACCTTAGCCCTAAACCCTAACCTAACCCTAACCCTAATCTAACCCTAAACACTAATCTAACCCTAACCCTTAACCCTAATTTAAACCCTAAACCCTAACCCTATGGACGAGTTTCTATACTAAATGCATTATGAATTCACAACTTCTGAGCCTTTATCAAACCTCAACAAGTTCTTAAATCATGTAGAAGAAGAATATCCACTGTAATTCATTATTTTCTTGTAATATATTTTTACTTTATACTGTCTTCTGATTGGCTAATAATTGAAATTGCTCAAACGCTTCTCATTGGCTCGTCCCTAAATTAGAGTTTCGCCGCCCCATCTGTTTTAACCTCTCATTAATCACCTCCTCTCTAAAATCCGCTGTGAACCGACCGTATGTTAGCATCGCGTGTTGAACTTAGCTCCGTGACCTTGAAATTGCTCAGACGCTTCTGATTGGCTCGTCCCTAAATTAGTCTCGCCGAATAGACACTATGTTGCAGTTCTTTATCTTGATGATTACTTTTCCATATAGATTAAACTAGATTAGATTTGATCGTAAAACGATAACTATGACTTTAAAAAACAGGTGAGTATTCCTACTGAATTATCCTTACAGATTACAAATGAATAATATGCTCCAAAACAAGTCGAGACTTAACTTCACGGATGAAGTGTATGTAAATATGGTTGGGGCTAACATCGCAAATAAGTTACATAATTAATACATCAGATCGTAAAAAGCAGCAACAAGGATAAATAAAATTTAAAGTCAGTCAAGCTGTTTCAAAGTTAAACCTTACCGACAAATTCGAGTTCTGGTATTTATATTCACAGATTTTATGGATGTCAGCACTGGAATGGCACCAACATATTGAAGTTCAAATGTTACCCCAGCATCGGCAGCCAGTTGTGAATCATGATGAAGCCATTGCTGTGACCTTGTTGGCTCAATTGACATGCTAAAACCCTATTAAGTCACAAAAACAGCATCCCAAGTTAAAAGACCGCCGAATAAAAGTAATCATTTAGACCTCAGAAAAGTTGTTCCTGATCAATATCAAAATTGTATGATTGGACAGAATAAGTGATCTGAAAAGCTTCTTACCGAGGCTTTGGTGGTGAATATTGATTGCAAATATACCGGTAAACAAATATGAACTACCAAAAGAATAAATGGTTATGGACTTTGTGATGAATTTTGCTGCTAGAAATCCTGTCACAAACAAGTACGAACAATGTTTTATTTTCTGTGAACCAACGGTAATGGAACAACTGGACTAGGGAAATCAAAAAAGGGAAGTGATTTAGTACTTTTTGTGATTATCTTTGCTTTTCTGTACTTATTGCTTCAAAAAGCATCCATAGTCTTAGTTCGAAGTATTTCAGTTAAGGTATGATTTTTTGATAAACTTTGTCCTGTAGTACCTTCTTTTTCATTGACTCCGACACTTGTGTTCATATAGAGTCTAAAACTCTAATCTAGTCACAATGGTTGGCAGTAATTGTAAGCGTGGACAGACAAATTTTTTATTCCCCGTCGAGTAAAGAATGCAATGAAATGAGTGTAAAAAGTGGTTTCACAAGATGTGTACCCGTTTAATTCCAACCGCATACAAAAGAATCTCTTTCGAACATTGCTTAAAGCCTAACTAGTTTTGGCTTCGTATGTTTTACTGCACAAATAAGACGTTACTGATTCAGGAGGCCATGAGCCTATTAGCTTTATCCTGTAAGAAGAAAGACGACAGTGTTGAATCCCGATCGTATAGGCATCGTAAGGTAATCCTAGGGTCAGAGTAGCAATTTTATCTTCTTTTAAGTAGCGCTCGTTGTCACGACAGTACCGGCATTCGAGTAAAACCTGATATACCTCATGAAGATTGAATGAAAAGGAAGACAATACCAGCTGAATTAGAAAGCTGTCCACAGGAGAATTTCCGATTAGTAGGTTTTCGAATAGGCAAGTCTTGAAAAGGAATGCTGTGAAGGTCTGCATGGATAGGCCATTCTCCCTAGGAGTTTAAAATGCCATTGCTCGTCATCTAAGAAATAAAGTCTAAGAACTAGAAGTATTTGTGGACAAATTAACGTCACTCATTGTAGCCCGTAACAGAAACTTGCTTAGTCCAGACTTCGACATTACTTCAGAATTATCCGGATACCACTACCTAATTAGTGATAGACATAGATGTAGAAGGGGGGGGGAATCATTCTATACATAGTCGATAATATAAATATCCGCTCGTTTGCGAATCTCGTGATAGTGTAACTGGTGAAGTCAATAGCTGTGAGCTCACTATCAGATATTTTATATTTATACTCTGTGTCATATATCGTAGCCCAATCTGCTTAGCTGATAAATTTATTTAAGAGCACATTCAACTATGGAGTGCAAATAACAGATACTTGATATTAGGAGATTTTGGTGCACGCGTTATTAGTTGGATTGGGGTGGTAATGGTAGGATCCATAAACTGCTTTGTCAGCAGGTTTACGGTAATTAAGCATGCATTAGTATATCATGTATCCAGACCCACTCGTTTTGGTGATAACCAGTGTTCTTTTTGTTAGACATGGTATTTTTTCGTGTGACTGCGAGTATTGCCAACCTAAATATTCGCCCACCATTAGTGAATAGTGATCACTCCGTTTTGTTACTCACGTTTAAAGCTAGTAACATAATAAACGATCAGGTTAAACCCCGCCCAAGTATATGGAGAACTAACATCAGCCATTCAGGGGTGCGCTGTTAAAACAGATTGGTTTGTAGATACTAGCTCATCAGTTGAAGAAGCATAGTCTATATTTAAAAGCTAGCATAAAGAAGTCGGAGATTTCGACTGTTGGTAAGAAACCTTTATACATGAATGTGCAATTCAACGGGGATGTGGCTAGTGACACTCTGAAATATAGGTTAACCAAAGTAATCACCAGGACATTCTACGCAGCCAATCTTGCGTTGACCTTCTCTTGTCGACCAGCGATGTCTACTCAAACGAAGGATAAGTTACCTGAGTTGGCCTCTTCCATGTGCATTTACAAATTCAGCTGCTCCTGTGGAGATAGCTATATAGGGCGTACTACCAAGCAACTTAACCAACGAATGAGTGAACATCTACCAACTTGGTACATAAAGGGCCAGAGAAAATCTATTCGCAGTTCTATATTGGCACATTTTATTGATAGCGGTCATGCAGTAGATAAATCGAAATCATTTCGAGTTATCTATCATATACCTCCATCATTTCCCGACGGAGTCCGTTCCCGTCTCCTACATATAGCTGAAGCCATTGAAATTCGTACATATAACCCAAATTTATGTGTACAGACGAAATACGTGACCCCCCTATCCCTTCCATGGCCGGTTATAACTTAACTAACATTTTTTATTTTAACTTTTATTATTATCATTATTTATTTATTTTATTCTATTTGTGTTATCGTCAACCTTATTTCCACATCCATTAGTTGTTTGTAATTTTTCCGCCTCTTTGTATTCTTCACTATCGAATTATTTACACACATCTTATTACGTAATGATTTTAATGTTTTGTGATTACTATTCCTAGTCTATTTACCCATGTTTGTTTGACCTTCTATTTCCGACGATTAACTATTGATAAGAGTTTTGTTATTGTATTTTATTATTCTCACTATTATCAGTTCACCTGTCTTCCTACTATCAACTTGTACTTTTACCTATTATGTGTAGAGACTTATTCTATTTCATTGTGATTATTGACCCATATTGTCTTGATTGGTTTAAAATTTTCGTATAAATATTCATGTATATTAGAGTAAAGCCTGATGACGATCTAATTGAAAACAATTGTTCGCTTATATGTGTTGTTCTAATTTTCACAATGGGAATCCTTAATATTCTAATAACACGTTGACCGAATTATAGTACAGCATAGATAACCAAACAAGTTGATAAACTTCTCAGAAGTATGAAAAAGTATTGGAATATGTTTATCTCTACTACAGGCCCAGTTGTTTTAAGACTAGGAACGCCTGTAAATCGTTAGTAATTAAGACCAGACAATTGAGTGAAAAACAAGTGGTTATAGATTGTAAAAATAGTCTGAAATGGTTATACCCACATATAAAAAGGCGAACTCTGAGAACTGATAGAATTCCATCACTTTTGGTACAAGAAAATCCGTTAATATCGACAAGAGACGATGTCGTGAAAGCTGATGCTTTATCGCAATATTTCAGTAATGTGTTTTCTATCACTAATTAGTAACGACCAACGATTAAATGTGATTATGGCGGCTTGTTGATGGATCGAGAAAGGTACTGTCTTAAGACTACTTCGGCACCGCAAACCTGGTAAGTTCAGTGAATCTGATGACATTCATCTTAGGATTATGAAAGCCCTATCGGATTTAATTGCTGAACCTATAGTTGTACCGTTTGATATGTCTCTTCGACAGTCCAGGCTGCCAAGATATTGGAAAGATGCAATAATCAGTCGGGTGTATAAGACGGGAGTAGAGATTTAATTAGTAACTGTTGACCCGCCAGTCTAACCAGTGCAGTTGTGAAACTAGTAGAAAAAATTATTCGGACGGCTGTTATAAACTATGTGGAGGGACATGATCTTCTATCCAGGGAACAACATGATTTTCGGAAGGACTTATCACGTTTGACAAATTTACTCATTGCAATAGAAGATTGGGCTGCTGCAAAAGATCGAAATATTCTTGCAGACGCAATTTTCTTAGATCTAAGTAAAGCCTTTGATAAGGTCTGCCATTCGAGTCTTAAATTAAGACTGGAAATATTTGGGATCCATTATAAGGTCATAGACTGGATAAGCAACGTTCTCCATGATAGGGGATAAGGGGTAAGTGTAAATGGGGCCCGCTCATCACGGGAATCTGTTAAACGTCGAGTATTTCGAGGCACAGTCCTCAGCCGTTCTACTCTTCGTCGATGAAATGAAGATTTGGAGACCCATACACAGTGTCAGACGGAATAGTGTCTCAACTCATTGGTGGCGGAGATGGGCGGATGGTCCTAACAAGAGTGTGGTGATGCGACTAAATAACTATGATGATCCATATCACTACGCAATACGTGTATTTGTTTTACCCAAAGTAAGAAACCATAAAGATTTAGGAGACATAAAAAGCAGCGATCTAAAAACTACTAGTAGCTGTACGGCTGCTACTGAAAGAGAATTTGTAGTATTATGGGCTATTCGTAGGTCTAGGACCGACCATTTGAGAGAACATTAGAAGCAATTTCAAACACCGAGATCAAATCGTCTACGTCTGAAGTTTCATTTCTCGCACCGAGTATTGAAATACTGAAATTCTCGACCAGAACACGTAATATCAACACCTTCTGTTGATATATTAAAAACGAGATTGGACCTCCACCGTGTTACAAACTGCAAGCAATAATACAGGTTGATAGACCTCTCTTCCTTATTAGTGAAGATAAGTTGACGACCCGAAAACTGACAGACATACTGTACCAACCACCGGATATCAGGTAGCTGTTGATTCTTCTGTTTTAAAGATTTGTAGAGTCAGCGGAATGTTACTGGGCCCTATCCAAACCAGCCGGCGGTTGGGTCACTGAAAACTGAGCAGTTAATCGATTCTCGTCAAGTTCAAGGATAACCAACGAGTATCAGACAAACGAACGCCCATACGGCGGTGGTCGCAATCTCACATTATTATTATTATTATTATTATTATTCACAAACATCTTGTGGGTACATAAGTGTTGTGAAGCAACCATTTCGGGTTTCTTCAAAAAATGCAATATCGTTAAATTAGTAACAACAGTAATTAAGAAAAATAACTTATAATTGCAGTAAGATATGACGCTAGAATAAATGTTTGTGCAGTTATAGTTTGGAGTGATGCGATGAAAGTCTCAATTGAGTGAAAAGGATAATAAAATATCAATATGTATGAGACATATATGCATAGTGAATAT